ATAAAAAAGAATAAAATATAAAAAAAAAGAATGAACAAATGGCAAACACACTCATTATATAAGTAGCTTGCTATATATGCACTGAAGGGAAGCAACACAGAAGAAAAAAATAACAAAATGAGAATTTTTCAGACATAAAGCTGAAAAATTATATATCCTCAAGCGATATATAATTGACCAAAAAAAAGACTCTTTTTTCTAGCGACTCAGGAATATGGACACATAATTGGTGTTAAATATTCTCATTAGTCATTTATTTGCCTTCATATTTTCATCTTAGTAATGGTTTTTAGTTACTATTTTCCATTTACAAGAGAGGAAAACATCTTCTGACTATTCTTATTCCTGTAATGCCATCATCCTCTAATTTAGACTCACAGTCATGAATAAATCTTGCGATTACCTGAATGAGGTGGTGCTCCGGGGTGTAAAGGTGGTTGAAAAGAGCATGGTATAGGACCTGGGCCCTGTTGTACTGGAGTAAGTCAGCAGCTGGCTGCAATTACACAAATTATCCAATATTAAAAACCTAACAAACAAAAAAAATTCCCAAGAGTAGGAAAAGGTTAGTGATTTTAAAAACTGGACTATGAGTACATGGAATTCATTATCCCCATCTTCCTACTTTTATGTATTAAGGTTATAGATGGTGAAGCTGCTTCGCTCACATTCTGTACATGTTGCCAGGAGAAGACACTCCTTGGAATGTCTTGGACATGCTTGGAAAGGTGGAGGGTCAGCAAAAGAAAAAACGAACTCTAAAGAGATAGCACAGTGAATGCAGCAATGCATTCAAGTGTGTCAGAGATAGTGAGCATGGCACAAAGTAGGATATAGGGTTGCTGTGAGTCACATACTGGACTCAATGGCACCTAACAACAACAATATTAGTCTTTTAATAAAAAGGTCCCTTGACTAAAGCCTGCACAATTGGGTTTAATAATTTTCAGGTTTTCTTTTTTTCCCCTTGAAACAGTAAACTGTTGATTACTCAAGGTATGGCTCTTCAGTTTGATAATGACCTATGCGGTCCCATTTCTTTTATAATTATCCTTTTAGTTACTGTGTCATAAAACTACTAGGTTGGCAGAGGGAAATTATAAGGAGAAAAACCATAAACAAGTTAATTGGATTTCTTAGTAAGTTTAAAAGAAAGCCAATTAATACAAAATACACAGTTTTTCTGAACCAAAAAAGACATTCATATAGCCACAAAACACATACAAAGATGCTCACCATCATTAGAGATGTAAATTAAAACCACAATGAGATACCTTTGTATTCCATGGCTAAGATTAAAGGAAAAAATGGTAAGGGTGTAGGAAAACTGGAATCCTGAACCACTGCTGGTAGGAATGCGAATATCTTATATAGTCTATAGAGCTACTGCAGATATTAATGTGGTAGTTCTTTTTAAAAAAACAAACAAAAAAAAAACCAACCAAAACACAAACACAAAACTAACAACAGAAATATCTTAAAAAAACTTCCCCTCTAAACTCAATGCCATCTAATCAGTTCAAACTCAGGGTGCCACTCCGTCAGGTTTCCAAGGCCTAATGGAAGCAGACTGCCTCAGTTTTCTCCCTTGGAGTGGGTTATTGCTGGCTTTGTGTACCACTGAGCTGAAACTGGCCCACAGCTAACCCGCTGGTGGGTTTTCAGAGGCAGTTAATCCTACGGGGACACTGCCTATCCTCTTCTGCCAAGCAGTTTGTGGATTTGAACTACATGCCTTCAGGACTGCAGTGCAGCTTCTTACCACTAGGCCACCAGAGCTTACTTGGAGTGGGTGGTGGTTGTTGTTATGTGCCACTGAGTCACTTGCGACTCACAGCGACCCTATTTATAAGAGGCTTAAACCCTACTCTATCCTGTGCCAACCTCACTGTCTCCAACACACTCACTCCCACCACCTCAATCACAGAATCGATCCATCTCCTTGAGGGTCTTCCTCTCCTGTGCTGTCTCTCCATTCTCCCAAGGAGCAGCCCAGCTTTACTCAGGACAAATGTGTTTGTTCTCCTAGCAGTCCATGGTATATTCAACACTCTTCTCCAGCACCACAACTCAAAGGCACCAATTCTCTTTCTATCATCCCTAGTCACTGTCCAGCTCTTCGATGCACAGCACGCAACTGCAAAGACTATAGCCCGGACCAAGCGCACCTTAGTCTCCAGCCTGATGTTATTGCTCTTCAGTACTCTGGAGAGGTCCCTGACAGCTGACTTTCCCAATGCAATTAGTCTCTTGATTTCCTGCTGCTGTTACCAAGAGTGTTGACGGTGGAGCCAAGCAAACAAAAACTGTTAACTAACTATCTCAATCTCTTCACCATCCATACTGATGCTGCCAATTGGCCCAGTGGGGAGAATCTTTGTTCTCTTGATGTTGAGCTTCAATCTGTATTGAAGGCTGCAGTCCTTGACCTTCTGTAGCAAGCACTTCAGGTCCTCCTCAGTTTCAATACTATGCCATCAAACCAATAAAATCAAAACCACTGCTGTGGAATCAGTGTATCTAAGGCTGAAATCTTTACAGGAATAGACAGTCCATTTTTATCCTGTGTGGAGTGGCTAGTGGATTCCAACTGCCAGACTTCTTGTTAACAGTTTAATGTGTTACACAGCAATTCCACTCCAAGCTTTTTATCCAAAAGAACTGAAAGCAGAGACTCACAAAAGAGACCTGTACAACAATGTTCAGTGCAGCATTATGCATAATAGCTAAAAGGTAGAAACCTAAACACCCATCAACAAATCAATGGATAAACAAAATGTGGTCCGACCCATCCAGTAGGAGACAAGGAATCTTGCTACATGTTACAATACAAATGAAACCTGAAGACAGTATGATGAGCAGAACAAGCTAATCACAAAAGGAGAAATACGACTTCATCACCAAAAAGTTAAAAAAAAAAAGGCAAACATATAGAGACTAAAGTTTATTTAGGTGTAGGAGGGAGGGGGAATAAAGGGAGTACAGCTTACAGAGTACTGACTTTAAAGTGTTGGGAAAAAAATCACATCAAAGGTAGGGTTACATAACTAACTACTAGAACTGCAGTCAAAATGCAAAACTGTAAAAAGCTGAATTGGCAAAGGTTGTGGGATAAATATATTTAAAACAATGACCAACAGGGAAAAAAATAGACTAACTGGTGAGGCTGTTTTGTATCTTAGACATCTCATGAATGTGGTTCCTTGATTTGGTGGTTTAGGGTCATGGTTTTATGTGACATCCCAGTTGCTGACGTAATAACATTTAGAGCTCTTGTTCTGCGTCCTCATTCAGGACAGAGTGCCTGAGAGCTTCAAAACTAGCAAGTGGTTATTCAAGGCAGAACAATTAGCTTTTATTTGTGTACAGCAACAGAGGAAGATACAGAACGTGTGGCTAAAGCTACAACCAGGAGAAGATAACATAGATGAATGGGACCTTCTAAGACTCAAATCCCTATGCACATCCAAAAAATTCTCCAGTAGGGTAAAAAGGGAAGCCACTGACTGGGAAAAAGTATTCAGTAATAACATATCAGATAAGGGACTTATATCCAGAATTTATGAAATACTTG